CAGGTCATCATCATCATCATCATCCACGAAGTCTCGGAGGCTGTTCACTGCCCGCTTGGACTCCTTTAACTGCAGAGGGACACAAGGCCAGGGCGCTCAGGCAATCATCATTCCCCACCTCTCTTCCGACAATCAAGAAGGCTGAGGAATTGGGGCCTGAAGGTGGCCAATGCTCACCCTGTGCAATCGAAAGCCTAGCATACTAGATACCTGCCAAGAAAACAAACTGATTTTTAGCCAACACTACAGTCCAGTGGTAAAAGAATTAGGAGGAATCAAAGTCACTTTTGAATTCTCATCATATTCCTGGCAGTGACTTGCTATGTAAACCTGAGTGAATTTATTCACCTCTCTAAAAATAAATGTTTCCCCAATTGCAAAATAGACACAACAAAAATAAATCCTCCAATCCAGTTCATCTTTCAAAAATAAAAAATATATATCACATGAATAAAAGACTTGAGGTTCTTTAAAAAGAAAAAAAAACTGAAAGGAAGAAATCATCTTAAAAAGGTAAAGTAAAAAAGGCAGTGAGCTGGATTTTACAATCCTTCTGGCTCTTTCCTGAGCCTAATGAAGACATGGTCAAAAGCCAAGTTACCCAGACTGCAAGAGGAAAGAATTTTAGAGTGGCACTGTGGAAAAGAGTACAAACTTCAGCAGTTGACCTACCTGTGAAAGCTCATCATCTTCATCGTCAAAGGTGAAAGCCTTGAACTTGGAGCTGTTCCAATACTCCTCCTCATCACCCTTTGTCCGATTCATCTACAGTGACAGGAAGACATACATCGTCTCTTTCTGGGTCTCTCCCTAAAGAGTTCCAAAGCTTTAACTGCTCCCAAAAATCAAGGATGCAGAAAAGGATCTGGTAAAACAAATATTGAACCTGCCATATAAAACCACATTCTTGGGTCTCCAACTGATCAAATCATACTTCTAATCTTCTAATTACCCAGAAGTAGTCATCCATTCTTAGAGCATCCACTTTGTCCAGGGCACTCTCTCAGGTGTTGTAAGGTATATTAAAAAGTGCCAGAGACTGGGTGCAGTGGCTCAGGCTTTTAATCCCAGCAATTTGGGAGGCCGAGGTGGGCAGATCGCCTGAGTTCAGGAGTTCGAGACCAGTCTGATCAACATGGAGAAACCCCGTCTCTACTAAAAATACAAAATTAGCCGGGCATGGTGGTGCATGCCTGTAATCCCAGCTACTCAGGAGGCTGAGGCAGGAGAATCGCTTGAACCCGGGAGGCGGAGGTTGCGGTGAGCCGAGATTGCACCATTGCACTTCAGCCTGGGCAACAAGAGCAAAACTCCATCTCAAAAAAAAAAAAAAAAAAAAGGGTCAGACACGGTCCCACTTCTGAAGGACCCTACAACACAGCCAGGGCATTCAGCATAGGTATATATTAAAAGCAACAGGCAACAGTGCAAGGCAGGCAGATGCTTTAAGAATCCATCACAGCCGGGCGCGGTGGCTCAAGCCTGTAATCCCAGCACTTTGGGAGGCCGAGACGGGCGGATCACGAGGTCAGGAGATCGAGACCATCCTGGCTAACACGGTGAAATCCCGTCTCTACTAAAAATACAAAAAAACTAGCCGGGCGAGGTGGCGGGTGCCTGTAGTCCCAGCTACTCGGGAGGCTGAGGCAGGAGAATGGCATAAACCTGGGAGACAGAGCTTGCAGTGAGCTGAGATCCGGCCACTGTACTCCAGCCTGGGTGACAGAGCGAGACTCCGTCTCAAAAAAAAAAAAAAAAAAAGAATCCATCACAAAAGTTTGCTGAATACACAAGGAAGAGCAATCAAAACATGCACAAAACAGACAAAAATTGCATTCGCATTTTCAACAAATATTTATTGAGCACCATCTCTGGGGCACTGTTCTAGGTTCTGGGAATACTACAGTGAATAAAATTGACAAATATTCCACTCTCATAAATGCCTGAAAGAATGGAAAGCAAAGTAATTAAAAGAAGTAGAACTATTTCACCTAAATCTTCAAATTATGACTATTTGATTAACAACTGTTGGCCAAAATTTGGGAAATGAGGGCATGGCCAAGAAAAGCAAGTATATAAAGAAGTAGTCAAAAGACCACAAGTCCCTGTTATAACTACTATAAAATTCAATTTTGCCCTGCAAAAACAAGTTTTGCCCTAGAATTACAAACTAGGCAGGGTACAGTGGCTCACATCTGTAATCCCAGCACTTTGGGACACTGAGGTGGGAGGATTGCCTGGGTCCAAGTTCAAGACTAGCCTGGGCAACACAGTAAAACTGTCTCTACAAAAAAAAATTTAAAAACCAAACAAAAAACCAGCTGGACATGGTGACGTGGTCCCAACTACTTGGGAGGCTGAGGTGGAGGATCACCTGAGCTCGGGAGGTTGAGGCTGCCATGAGTTGAGGTCACACAACTGCACTCCAGCCTGGGTGACAGAGTGAGACCCTTCCTGTCTCTAAATAAGGAAACAGAATTACAAACTAAACTATCATGCCAACTGGATTAGAATGAAAACTATGATTTAAGCCAAGGACTAGGTACTAAAACTCCCACAGCACCAAAAATAATTGTAAAGGCTAAACAGCATCAAGTTCTAAAAGAACCATTTGCTTTTCCTTTTAATAGCACCTTCATCAATAAGAGCTTGAGAAAAGCCTCATCATGGTAGTCCTGTTGAGGCTTTTGATGGCCCTTAAAGATATTCTACTGTTACTTCCTGACTCTGTTTTCAACTCAGGGGATATAAGGATAGCAAGGGTATTGTGGGAATTTTCTATCTTGTTCCTTCCCACAGCAGACATTGCTAATTGATTTCTACTGGAAGTGTTGCTTTAAAATCCTTTTCTGTATTTAATTTTAGGGAGATAAACCAAAAATGCTGGCAGACACCATGAAATCATCCCACACAGACATTGTAGTCAGGCAACCTTGAGTTCAAATCCTGGTTTCTCTTAATTCTGAGCAAACTGGATAAATGACTTTACTTTTAAGCCTTGGAGAAAATTATATCCTATCTCACAGGGTTGCAGGAACACCTATAAAAGTGTCTAGCGGAAAGTAAATACTAAATGTTAATTCCTTTTAATATGGAATATCATACTGACATTTTTCTGTCTTGGTTTCCCCATCTGTAAAATGGGCATAACAGATGACCTACCTTAGAAATGGTTATGAGGAGTAAACCAGTTAATACATATAAAGTGCTTAGTGCCCGACCCAAAATTAACACTCAGTAGTAACTTTTATTATTAATACATCATCATAGTACCTTGGGAAAAGCTAAAAAAGAAAATATTTTTTAGCAATCCTAAAAATTAAAAAAAATACAAAAATTCTGAGTGGCCACAAATGCTGAAGATGTGCACAGAACATATAAATGTCTCTGGCACACATGTCAGTTCATAAATCTGTCATTCATTTGATCCTCAGAACAATCTTGTAAGGTAGGCCTGGGAAATTCCATTTCCATGTTACTCACGGGGAAAGGGAGGCACAAAAGAGTTCAGTATCAAAGCCACCTTGTTACGTGCTATTTCAAATTACAATCCAGGCTTTCTGGCTTCTAGACCATTTCTAGTGTCCTGCATGGTCCTTCTATCTATTTTTCACTCTCTGGAAAACTAGAGATCATTCCTTCACTATAGTAGTTATCTACAAATAGACATAGAATATGTCTAACAAACACAATAACCTGCCAGAGGATTTCTGGAAATCTTTTAAACCATGCAATGGCAGTAGACACCTGCCATCAATTTGTATTTATAACGCCAAATGAGAAGCTAGGTTTACTTGACAAGTATAGATAATGATCTAATAGCTCCAGAGTTATAAGTAATCAGGTACAATCTTAAGAGTGACAGGTGCTTCAACATGATTTAAAACACTTCAGAGGTTTATCTTTGTCGTCTCCTGTTTACTGACAGACCACAAGGCAGGGTGAGGGATCTCAGGGGAGAACAGGAACTTTACAAAAGAAAACAGAAGGATCAGCAAGAAAACCACAACATCCTCCCTGCCTCAGAAAACTCCAAAAACCAGCTTCTGAGAAAGTCAGACTTGGTTTCAATTATCTTCCGAGCCAGGAAGATACAGGTGAGGCTTGTGAACTGAGACCAGGGAACATGAGTTAAGCTAGGATGACTCTACGGGTGAACGTCCAGGAAGCCATGGATCTACCGCAGTCGTCAGAGCCCAGCGGATCCCTGGCAGAGTTAAATGCTCTTTCTGAACCAAATGTCCGCTTCCGAACCAATCGTTGGTGCTTACTCGCAGCCCCATTCCCAAGCGTACTCCAGCGCCCAAGGGTCGCCCTGACTGAAAGAAGAGAATCAGGCCTGTGGTCGTAGGATGTAGGGATGCCTCCTAGAAGAGGGGAAAAGATCAAGATGCGGAGAGGCTGGACTCAGCCAGATAAGCGACCCAAGGGGCTTGGGACACCCTCACCTCTTACGCACAGAGCCCTCCCTCTCAGGACTGCGTCAGCCTCCGCCGCCGCTGGAACAGCCTCTCTTTTCAGGCTGTGCAGCTTAGAGAAGGGGACAGAAAGGAATAATCGCGGGGCGGGGAGAAAACGCGAATAAAGAGGCCGCAGGGCATGCTGGAAGTTGTAGTTTCTTCTGCCTCTGCTGTCAGGCGCCGTCCCGATGAACCACAAGGCTTCTTGACTACAGCCCCCAGAAACCCCACGCACTGTGCTAGGTCATTTCCTCTCCCTTCAGGGCGACCTTCCGCGGTTATCCAGCGGGTCACGTAAGAAGACTACAAGTCCCATGAGGCTCAGCAAGGCCGATTTAGGGTCCAGGGAAACAATGAGACGTGTTCTTTGTTTTCCTATGGGTGAGGAATGGTTGTATGAGCAGTTGGGTTTCGGGACCCTTTTTGGGGAGAACCTGAGGGAGTCCGAAGGAACACAAAATCAGATGGAACCCACGGTGCGGCGAGTTGGGACGGAAGTAGCCGGTGGAAGTGGGGAGGAGCCGGAAGTTAAGAAGGGGAGGGGGTGGAGGGAAAAGCAAGCCAGGAGGTGCTTGCGGCCGCTTCTAGTAGTTTCCAGGCGCTGCCGGGCGGCTGGCACTAAGCGGTCCTGAGGCTGTGGCTGCGGCAGCTCCGGAGCTGGTGGCGCCGCGATAGGAGAGCCGATGGCCAAGTGGGGTGAGGGAGACCCACGCTGGATCGTGGAGGAGCGGGCGGACGCCACCAACGTCAACAACTGGCACTGGTGAGGGCCAGCAAAGCAGGCCGGCCTTGGGAGACCTGCGGCCGGGCCAGGGTTCCAGGGTTCCTGGAACCTCGGACCGGACAGAGCTGGGGCTGAAGTAACCCTGTCCGGAGATGGGGGCGGGTCCTTCCTGTGGCAGGGGTCCGTAGCCCCAGGCCTCTCCACTCCCCGGCCACCTTCTCAGTGCTTGAGGGGAGGGAGATGGACGTGGAGGGCAGCGCCCCAGAGGAGGGTTGTCAGAGAGACTGGGAGATAACGCCCTGGCTGCTGCATCCAGCCCGAGCAGGGAGGTGCTTACTACACGTGGCCAGAGGAGTCACTGAGACTGGAACCTCTTTTGATTGTGTTGGGAGACAGCTGTGAAAGGCCTAAGGCCAGGGGTCTGTAATTCCTGTTTTGCGGCTTGCAGTAAAATTAAAAGTCATTCATAGGGGACCGCTGCAGCAGTCCCGCGGGAGATTGAGAACGTGTTGTGCAGGTGCTCAGAGCTCAGATAGCTGCGGCCTCTCACCCGGAACTGTCAGGTCAGGTGTGTTGGAACTCCAGGTTGCCGAGCAGCCGTGGTTTTATAACCTGTCCGTTCTTAAAATACTGCCCCGCTTCATGAAATCTTCCCAAAGTAATGTTTCCTTACTTTTGAATTCCACTGAATTCTGTTCATAATGTTTGTATTGTACCGTTACTTTGTTGCAGCTTTCTTTGCTGTTGTTTTCTCTAATAGTTGATAAGCAGGAGGGCAGATAGTGATGTTTCTTTTCCATATCTCACTTTGTGTTCTCTCTTCTAACATGCAGAGTACTTGACCTAATTTTTGTTGTTTTGAAGCCCTTGTCTTAACGTTTTTGTGGCCATCTAGGGGGCAGTGAATGTGTAGGAAGTTTATAATACAAGTGCGAATCTGATAGGTCAGAACACTGTGCCAGTGAGGTCAGGGTTATTGGTTGAATCCTTTCTGGGCCTTTTAGCTAAGTACTATTCTTCCATGGTCCAGTCTGTGTTCCTGATCAGAGCAATATGTGCAGTTTTCCACTTGGTCAAATGGGGGCGCCATGTTAAAGTATCAAGTATTCTCCAGCACCATCATGTCGAGAAAGGAGAGCATAATTTTCCATTGAGTTTATACCATTCTCTACAGCAGCTGTCTTTGTTGACAGTGTGCAACCCCTTGTCTTCCTAGAAAAGGGTGACATGTTTGTGGACATACTGGAGTGGGACTGGGAGTTTTTGTGTTCCTTTCAAACTATTTGTCAGGCCTCCTTTAACCTCGTATTCTCTTGCATAGAGCAGTATATCCTCCATTTGACTGCTAGTTCATAGCTTTGTTTCTGCTTTGCAGGACGGAGAGAGATGCTTCAAATTGGTCCACGGATAAGCTGAAAACACTGTTCCTGGCAGTGCAGGTTCAAAATGAAGAAGGCAAATGTGAGGTGACAGAAGTGAGTAAGCTTGATGGAGAGGCGTCCATTAACAATCGCAAAGGGAAACTTATCTTCTTTTACGAATGGAGCGTCAAACTAAACTGGACAGGTAAGTCTAAGCTGGGCTGTCAGAGAGATTAACTGTGTTTTGTTTAACCTGTTAAGTAGCTGGAGAGAACAGTTTTGAGGAGTTACAAACGTTGAAGGGAGAAGGCAGATGTTGCTGCTTTGGAGTCCTATGTAAAGCAGTATTGGGTACTGAAATTTCTTTGCCATTGTGGGATGCTAAATGGATTTCCTCTCTCCGGGTCTCATCAGTCCCACCCATGAAGAGGCTGGGCCACTGCATGTTTGGGCCTTGGTCTTTGTTGGAACACCTAAGGTGATATTTCTTCAGACTAGCTACATGTATCTCGTGAGTGATTTAAAAGGAGGAAGGAGGGTTTTTTTTGTTTTGTTTTTGTTTTTGTTTTTTTGGTCTTGATCTTTTTTTTTTACTCTCCTCAGTGTGACTCTAACAAATTAAAAAGAAGCTTGTGTGTGACAGTAATTTGGGGCTGTTTTATCTCTCTTCTAGTTTTGTGTCCCTTCTGTATGACATTAGGAAAAAATTGAGGTCATGCGTATGCCCGTTTTGGACAGTCCTGACTGTCGAGAGCCTGAATGTAAAAAGACAATAAAGTTAAAGGAGTATGAGATAGCTACTGTCTGGGTATGAGGCAAGGCATGAAATTTGTGCTTTGATAAACATTTCTAAAGTGAATAGTCATATCATAAAAAAGGGTGAAAGTAGATTTATCTGTCCTTGATTTTTGTTAATTTGTTTTTAAAGTACACTTGAAGCATAGTAGTATGGAAGGAATCTTTGGTGTCATTTTGCCCAGACCCCCCCTTTTTTTTTTTTTTTTTTTTTGAGACGGAGTTTCACTCTTGTCGCCCAGGCTGGAGTGCAGTGGCGCGATCTCTGCTCACTGCAACCTCCACTTCCTGGGTTCAACCAATTCTCCTGCCTCAGCCTCCCAAGTAGGATTACAGGTGCCTGCCACCACGCCAGGCTAATTTTGTATTTTTATTAGAGACAGGTTTCACCATGTTAGTCAGGCTGGTCTCGAACTGTGTCTGGCCGACACTTTTCTTTTAAATATAGGCACTAAAAATTGGTAGCATAGTTTTGTGCACATTAAATGGTAAGAAATAGATAAATACAGGCCAGGCGCGGTGGTTCATGCATGTAATCCCAGCACTTTGGGAGGCCAGGGCGGGCAGATCATGAGGTCAGGAGATTGAGACCATCCTGGCTGACACAGTGAAACCCCGTCTCTACTAAAAATACAAAAAATTAGCCGGGCGTGGTGGCGCGTGCTTATAGTCCCAGCTACCCGGGAGGCGGAGGCAGGAGAGCTGCTTGAACCCAGGAGGTGGAGGTTGCAGTGAGCTGAGATCGCACCATTGCACTCCAGCCTGGGCAACAGACTGAGACTCCATCTCGAAAGAAAATAAATAAATAAATAAATAAATAAATACTACAGTAAATATGGTGCTTTACCATTAAAAAGACCTGAAGGTTACTTGTGAAAGTGGGCATCAGAGCCAGGCACGGTGGCTCACACCTGTAATCTCAGCACTTTGGGAGACTGAGGCAAGTGGATCAAGGTCAGGAATTGGAGACACACCTGGCCAACATGGTGAAACCCCGTCTCTACTAAAAAATACAAGAATTAGCCGGGCATGGTGGCACGTGCCTGTAATCCCAGCTACTTGGGAGGCTGAGGCAGAAGAATTGCTTGAACCTGGGAGGTGGAGGTTACAGTGAGCCGAGATCGTGCCACTGCACTCCAGCCTGAGTGACAGAGCTGTCTTGGGGGGAAAAAAGTGGGCATCAGAAGGGTTGCAGCTTGAGGACTACTTTGGAATGGTAGAAGGAGAGTCATCTACAATCAGAAGGAACATTACACTAGATGAGGATAGGTATGGCTCACAATACACGCTGTAAACCGAGGTCATTGGCAGATAGGTGTTTGAGATATGTGTGTTTTATGTATCCTGTGTAGTTGGGTGAGGCTTTCCGTATTCACCTAGTGTTTCTCATGGATGGAGTCACATATAAGCAAATGTGAACTTCTCATTATAATCAAATTGCTCCCTAATATCTCAGTTGCACTGAAATAAATTGATATTTTCAAAAGAAGTTTCTAGCAGAACTACTGGCTTTTGACCCAAGTTCTCATGGTATAACTCATGCTAGTACCAATAACATAGTTGGTTTCCAGTAACCTGGTGAGGAAAAGACATTTCTTTTGGGGGTGCGGGTATTGATTGCATCTGGCATGTGGCATTCTCAGAATAAAGAGGATCGGTTCAGCCATCCAAAAGCAGCAGAAGTGAGGTCGCAGTTAGGACCCTGGAGCAGAGACCTTTCCTGCCTAGGAGTGGACTAATAACATTGCATTGGTTTTGACAGGTACTTCTAAGTCAGGAGTACAGTACAAAGGACATGTGGAGATCCCCAATTTGTCTGATGAAAACAGCGTGGATGAAGTAGAGGTTCGTGCTTCCTAACTCCTAATCCGAGTCCTCTATATCCTCTTACTCTCAGATGAGAAAAGTGACCTGTCATTGAGGATTCATAGTGCAGGCTTGGTCCAAGCATTCAGAACCCCAGTCTGCAGATACTTTGCTAGGCGTGTGGTGCCACTGGAAACTTCCAGAGCAATTTGCACTTTAATTCTTCACTTTAGCTAGTGACATGGGTTCTAACTAACATTAGCCATTTGACAGAGAGGACTCAAGAAGGAACACTAATGGGGATTGTACGAATATCGCAGTACTCATGCATTTCCTTTGGAAATGTCAGCAGTTACGTGATTGCTCAGCCCCCACATTCCATAATGAGGGTGCCCCTCAAGTTATTTACCACCTACTTCTCATCTTTCACTCAGATTAGTGTGAGCCTTGCCAAAGATGAGCCTGACACAAATCTCGTGGCCTTAATGAAGGAAGAAGGGGTGAAACTTCTCAGAGAAGCAATGGGAATTTACATCAGCACCCTCAAAACAGGTATCCCTTGAGTAGTTCTATATGCCTTAAGGAGGTAGTTTCCACCTGTTAGACTGTGGTTAAGGGCCTGGACAGTCCTTTCTTTGGCAGATGGGTAAAGATTTGTGGGGAGGGGGCTTATTTCATCTTAAAGTCAGTCCATAAGCTCGGAGTAAGGGAAAGATCTGGAGCTGTGTTGTCCAATACTGACAGTTGAGCATTTGAGATGTGGTTAGACCAAACCGAGATGTGCTGTGAGGGCCAGGCACAGTGGCTCACACTTGTAATCCCAGCACTGTTGGAGGCTGAGGTGGGCTGATTGCCTGAGCTCAGGAATTCGAGACCAGCCTGGGCAATATGCCGTCCTACAAAAAATACAAAAATTAGCTGGATGCGGTGGTTGGCGTCTGTAGTCCCAGCTACTGGGGAGGCTGAGGTGGGAGAGTGGCTTGAGCCCAGGAGGCAGGGAGGTTGCATTGAGCTAGCTGAGATCATGCCTCTGCACTCCAGCCTGGATGACCAAAAAACACAAGAGACGTGCTGTGAGTATAAATTACACTATGGGCTGGGTGCGGTGGCTCACGCCTATAATCTCAGCACTTTGGGAGGCCGAGTTGGGCGGATCACTTGAGGTCGGGAGTTCAAGACCAGCCTGACCAACATGGAGAAACCCAATCTCTACTAAAAATACAAAATTAGCTGGGTGTGGTGGCACACGCCTGTAATCCCAGCTACTCAAGAGGCTGAGGCAGGAGAATCGCTTGAACCTGGGAGATGGAGGTGGCGATGAGTCAAGAACATACCATTGCACTCCAGCCTGGGCGACAGAGTGAGACTCCGTCTCAAAAAAAAAAATTATATTTGAGGCTCACATTATATTTCTAATGGACAGCGCTAATCTAAAGACTTGGCATCGCAGGACTCATTACTTAAATACAGTCTGGACTATCTTTGATATGCATTCTCCAGGGATATTTAGATGGTTAGAATAGAAGTCAGCTCAGCTTTCCCCTGGGATTCCATTTCTGCCAGTGTGTTCTGATCTTGGTGTTGGAATATGTATAATAACCATCAAAGAAGATGATAGAAGGTGATAGACACCTTTTTGGGGGAGGACCAGTACTCCAGTGCCATAACTAGTTGTGGCTTTTCTACAGAGGCAAGGCAGAGTGGAGGAAAGATACTAACCATGCATCCATGGGTGCTGGGTAGATTACCTACTCTTGAAGTCATCAAAGTGCCACAGCGTTCATGCCATCCTTCCATAGTAGACCTCACATGCACTTAATATGTTATAATGTTTCCAGTTGAGTCAGGAGGATAAGCTTTTAAAAATAATCCCAGTGGCCGGGTGCCGGTGGCTCATGCCTGTAATCCCAGCACTTTGGGAGGCTAAGGCCAGTGGATCACGAGGTCAGGAGATCGAGACCATCCTCGCCAACATGGTGAAACCCCATCTCTACTAAAAATACAAAAATTAGCTGGGCATGGTGGCGCTTGCCTATAATCCCAGCTACTCAGGAGGCTGAGGCAGGAAAATAGCTTGAACCAGGGAGTTGGAGATTGCAGTGAGCTGAGATTGCACCACTGCACTCCAGCCTGGCAACAGAGCAAGACTCCCATCTAAAAAAAAAAAAAAAAAAAGATAATCCCAGTGAACACACTATATTCTATAGCATATACCCTGATACCAGTCTGGCATAGACCAAAAGTAAAGATGTAAAAATAGCCTCTTCCTTTTCTGGTCAAAACCTCATTCTGTAGTAGGATGGCTATGTTTGTCAAGCTGTAATGAAACTCCAGATCTCAGCTACTAAGAAATAACTTCCATGAGCTGGAATTTTATCTTTTCAGAGTTCACCCAGGGCATGATCTTACCTACAGTGAATGGAGAGTCAGTAGACCCAGTGGGGCAGCCAGCACTGAAAACTGAGGAGCGCAAGGTAAATGGTTTTCCCCCGGGGTGGGAGACTGTCTGCAAAGGAACTTGAGAGACTGCCTTCTTAATTCCACATGTCAGCTCTTTGTGTCCCTAACCTCTAAGCCAGAGCAGCTGTGATCTGCTCATGGTACTTTTTTAGAGTCCCTGCAATATGCATTCATTCACCCATCTTTAACCTGGTTTTAATTTGTTTATCGCAGACCCCTAGAGCAAGTAGAAGCTATCAGACAATTAAAAGTCTGACTTTTGATTGCATTTAGCACCAATTAGGAGGTTATGAACAAAGGATGGTCTTCATCTATATAAGTCTTCAGCCTAATTGGTATGTTGATATCTCAGACTTTGATTTTAGAGGTCCCATCAGGAAATGGAGTTACATCCCTGTCTTCACCCAGTCTCTCCAGTTTACAGGGCGAGCAAGTACTTTATCTGGAGATGGAAGTTTGTGGTTCAAGCTCAGCACTTGGTTTAGAGCCCTGTTGCTCTTTTGTCAGCATAGTAGAGTGGATACTCTGGAAGTGGGGAGAAAACTGCTTCCAGCTATTTAAGCATAGAAATTGTTTGAGAATTACACTGAGCTCTTAAAAAATATCTCAATGATTTGATTTGTTATTTGACTATCAGGGTCTTCCTTGTAGAGTGGTTATTTTTACTGGGAATTGAGGAAGTTTCCAGAAACATGACCCTCATGACTAAAACACCTACACACTCAAATTCCCTTCAAACCCCTTGGAATAATTAGCCTCGGAGGTGAAAATTTTTATGAGAATGAATGGTACAACTGTCTCTGAAGCCACGCTGATTGAGGTTGTATCATTACTCTGTACTGACCGTTTTCACTGCCACTTTCACAGGCTAAGCCTGCTCCTTCAAAAACCCAGGCCAGACCTGTTGGAGTCAAAATCCCCACTTGTAAGATCACTCTTAAGGAAACCTTCCTGACGTCACCAGAGGAGCTCTATAGAGTGTTTACCACCCAAGAGGTAAGTCAGTCTTGTCCTTCAGGCCTCGTGCCATCTGCCCTGAGTGTGCAGAAAAGGTGCTCACAGCTGGAGCCATGAGGCCTTCATCAAAGTGAAGTTTCCCTCCCTCTATTCTTTTTTTTTTTTTTTTGAGACGAAGTCTCGCTCTGTCACCCGCCCAAGCTGGAGTGCAGTGGTGCGATCTCGGCTCACTGCAACCTCTGCCTGCCGGGTTCAAGCGATTCTCCTGCCTCAGCATCCCAAACAGCTGGTACTATAGGCACACGCCATCATGCCCAGCTAATTTTTATATTTTTTAGTAGAGATGGGGTTTCACCATGTTTTTTAGTAGAGATGGGCTGATCTCAAACTCCTGACCTCAAGTGATCTGCCCACACCTCAGCCTCCCAAAGTGCTGGGATTACAGGTGCAAACCACTGTGCCCAGCCATATTTATTTATTTTAAAAACAAAAGACCTGGTCTTGCTATGTTGCCCAGACTAGCCTTGAACTCCTGGGCTCAAGCGATCCTCCTTCCTCAGCCTCCTGAGTAACTGGGATTACAGGTGCACATTACCATGCCTGTCCTAGTTTTGGGTCATATAAGTAGAAATCACTGAGTGAATCTTAGCAGAAAAGTGAATGGCCATTCTTGGTTACTCTGTAGCACAGAAGAATTCCTGGCTTCTTTCTGTTGCACAGCTGACTTGTACCATTCTGCTGCTATAGTGTGGAGTTGAGAAACATGACTGTATTCAGCTTTATTATCTGATAGTAAAGGCGGTTAGGATACGTGGAAGTTCTCACATACTCTAGGACAAAATTCCAAGATCTTATTTTTTAAACAAAAATGCAAATACAGCCATAAATTAAGAGGTACCATGTAGTATATGGGTGTTAGTATGTCTGTGTGCCTGCACTCAAAATACTCTCATGATAGTTCTGTCCCCCTTAGAAAACCAAGAACTGGAGAAGCAGTTAAATGGACACAGACTTCAGTTGAATCTCTTCTTCCAAACTAGTTAAAGTTTTCAGAGTTTTAAAATACTTTTGTATGGGAGGATTCCTGACATTTTTAACCTTCTGTTCCTTTTTAATTTTTTACCATGTATTTGTATTACCTACTTAAAAAAATAGTAAAGCCTTTTTAAAAGTAAAAGTGGCACTGTTGAGTAATCGAACACAGCAAAATGATACTGATTTGATATATATGGAGTAGGCCAGGCACAGTGGCTCACACCTCTAATCCCAGCACTTTGGGAGGCTGAGGCCGATGAATTGCTTGAGCCCAGGAGTTTGAGACTTGTCTGGCCAACATGGTGAAGCCATCTATACAAAAAATACAGAAATTAGCTGGTGTGGTGGTACACACCTATAGTCCCAGCTCCTCAGGAGGCTGAGGTGGAAGGATCACCTAAGCTTAGGAGGTTGGGGCTACAGTGAGCCATGATCATGCCACTGCACTTTAGCCTGGGCAACAGAGCGAGACCCATCTCAAAAACAAAATAAAAGGGCTGGGCACGGTGGCTCACGCCTATAATCCCAGCACTTTGGGAGGTCGAGGCTGGTGGATCTGGAGGTCAGGAGTTCAAGACCAGTCTGGCCAAGATGGTGAAACCCTGTCTGTACTAAAAAAACAAAAAATTAGCCGGCGTGGTGGCACATGCCTGTAATCCCGGCTACTCCGGAGGCTGAGGCAGAGAATTGCTTAAAACCTGGACAGGCGGAGGTTGCAGTGAGCTGAGATCATGCCACTGCACTCCAGCCTGGGTGACAGAGTGAGACTCCGTCTCAAAAAAAAAAAAAAAAAAAGATGTATGGCATAGATCTACTTTGGGACACGTTCTCAGAAATGAAAATAGAAGTCTCAAACATTTACTTGAGAATTTTCTTTCATAAGCTCATTCTCATATCTTTCTGAACCATATACTATTTCTTTTTTTTTTTTTTTTTTTTTTTTTTTGAGACGGAGTCTCGCTCTGTCACCCAGGCTGGAGTGCAGTGGCTGGATCTCAGCTCACTGCAAGCTCCGCCTCCCGGGTTTACGCCATTCTCCTGCCTCAGCCTCCCGAGTAGCTGGGACTACAGGCGCCACCACCTCGCCCGGCTAGTTTTTTGTAGTTTTAGTAGAGACGGGGTTTCACTGTGTTCACCAGGATGGTCTCGATCTCCTGACTTCGTGATCAACCCGTCTCGGCCTCCCAAAGTGCTGGGATTACAGGCTTGAGCCACCGTGCCCGGCCTACTATTTCAAATAAATAAAAGTAAATGGGTCCAAAGTAATGGCATCATCGGATCTGAAAGAATTCCCGAGTCAAGTCCTGGCTGGTAGTAGAACAGAATAGAGGGACACCTTGGACCTGCCTGTGGGGCAGACTGGCGGAAATGAGAGTTGAGACATGCAGCCTTCAGCTGGCATTTGTCCCTGGGTCCCACTGAGAGCCATGTATCTTCTGCCTCTTTTTTTTTTTCCTGCAGCTGGTGCAGGCCTTTACCCATGCTCCCGCAACATTAGAAGCAGACAGAGGTGGAAAGTTCCACATGGTAGATGGCAACGTTTCTGGGGAATTTACTGATCTGGTGAGTACCTGCTGGCCCTAGACTTGGGTTGTTGCGTCTGTCTGGTCAGCTGAGTGACATTTCTCTTGTTTCTCAACTCTATAGGTAAAGTTTAAGGCTTTAATCTCTTTGGTTAATAAAACATTTTGTTTTTCAAAAAAAGGCTGTGATTTGAACTCTCTTGCAAGTAATACAGTTGCACAGACGGTGGACTCCGTATGAAGGGCAGATGACTGATCCTAGCTAGGACTGGGTCCGTTGTAGTATATAATGTAGACTGAGCTGTTTGATTATTTTAGGTCCCTGAGAAACATATTGTGATGAAGTGGAGGTTTAAATCTTGGCCAGAGGGTAAGTAAACATATATATTGCCATTACCCCCAGAACTTTTTCTCTTTGCTGTAGTTTTTTTTTTTTTTGCTTTGTTTTTTGGAAACAGGGTCTCACTGTCACCCAGGCTAGAGTGCAGTGGCATAATCACAGCTAACTGCAGCCTTAACCTCCCAGACCCAAACGATCCTCCTGCTTCAGCTTCCCAAGTAGCTGAGACTACGTGTACCACCACACCAGCTTTTTTTTTTTTAATTACTTTTTTTGTAGAGATGGGGTCCCACTACATTGCCCAGGCTAGTCTCGAACTCCTGGGCTCAAGTGATCCTCCTGCCTCAGCCTCCCAAAGTACTGGGATTACAGGTTGCCCAAGTAGCTGGGATTAGAGGCGCATGCCACTACACCCAGCTAAGTGTTGTAATTTTAGTAGAGATGGGGTTTCACCATGTTAGCCAGGCTGGTCTGGAACTCCTGGCCTCTGGTGGTCCGCCCATCTCAGCCTCCCAAACTGCTGAGATTACAGGTGTGAACCACCACACCCAGCCAGGTTGCCCCAGTCTTAAACTCAGATGGAAACCCTAGATATGAAACCCCATCCCCTCTGCCTTTCCCAGGGCACTTTGCCACCATCACCTTGACCTTCATCGACAAGAATGGAGAGACTGAGCTGTGCATGGAAGGTCGAGGCATCCCTGCTCCTGAGGAAGAGCGGACGCGGCAGGGCTGGCAGCGGTACTACTTTGAGGGCATTAAACAGACCTTTGGCTATGGCGCACGCTTATTTTAGGGCCAGCGGCAGGGGACTTCAGCCTCCTGGATACTTCAGTCCAGCCCTCTCCTGACTGGGACTTGCGACTCACAGGATTGCATCGTCCCAGCCGCTAACTTGGGGCCAGGGCCCCTCCCCTCCACATATACCTTGGGTTTGTGCATGTTTTCTTCTGGGTGGGTTCAGAGGGCAATTTCTCTTTTATGTGTACATATGCTAAATAAACATAATTTAAAAAACATGCGTGTCTGGAACCTGTGTTGATTGAGTGGCTGGTATTGAGAGCTCCCTCAAAGGTTCTGAATTCAGTAAAGGATGGGGTGGATGGCCTTGTCTCTATTCTGGATAAGTGTGGGTAATTAAGAGGCACAGCACCTGCTTCTCACTACCAGGCATTCCTGAGCTAGTCTTTCTTACTGGTAAATAGTTCCTGCCTTTTTACCCGTAAAAGTAGGGGAGGGTTGGTACCTGGGTAGAGAGTGCCAACAAACACTATACCTCTACTGCCAGTGCAGCTGACTTCTCACTTTGCACTGCCCATAGTCTCTTACCCTCTTGAAAGGATTAGTGATCACCAGATGCTGCTTTGGGATATGGAAAGGTGGGAGATTCCTAACTTGTGGCAGCTTCTGTTACGTTGCATAGTTACTGAGTACCAGACACTACACTGTTTACTTGCATTAACTCATTTGATCTCCATGATATGAAGTAGGTACTCTGGTCATTTGTTTTACAAGAACTTAAGTCTTGGCTTTTAAATACATGTATTTGACATATAGCCAGGTGTAGTGGCTCAGGCCTATAGTCCCAGCACTTCGGGAGGCTGAGGCAGGTAGATCACTTGAGGCCAGGAGTTTGAGACCAGCCTGGCCAACATGGCGAAACCCCATCTCTACTAAAAATACCAAAATTAACCAATGTGGTGGCGCACGCCTGTAATCCCAGCTACTCTAGAGGCTGAGGCACGAGAATTGCTTGAGCCCAGAAGGTGTGAGCCAAGATTGCACCACTGCACTCAAGCCTGGGTGACAGAGTAAGACAGTCTCAAAAAATTAAAAAAATAAATAGTTTACATACATACTTGCTACAGGTGAGCCTTGGATTTCTTTTTTTTTTTTTTTTTTTTTTTTTGAGACGGAGTCTCGCTCTGCCGCCCGAGCTGGAGTGCAGTGGCAGGATCTCGGCTCACTGCAAGCTCCGCCTCCCGGGTTCACGCCATTCTCCTGCCTCAGCCTCCCAAGTAGCTGGGACTACAGGCGCCCGCCACCTCGCCCAGCTAGTTTTTTGTATTTTTTTTAGTAGAGACGGGGTTTCACCGTGTTAGCCAGGATGGTCTCGATCTCCTGACCTCGTGATCTGCCCGCCTCGGCCTCCCAAAGTGCTGGGATTACAGGCTTGAGCCACCACGCCCGGCCGAGCCTTGGATTTCTTAACACCCAGACTGAACAATTAAGCAGAGTTGAGATTTGCAACAAGGACTGTAACTGCAACAAGGACTGTAACTGCAGAGCCCATATTCAGGAAGTTGTTTATTTAACAATATGTGGTACCATTAAGTTTGCTGGGCACTGACCATGAGCCAAGTGTTGGGGATATAGTGGATTCAGACTGCCACATTGCAGGAAGAGGTAACAGTACCTGAACAGGGAGAGTCACTCCTGGACAAGCCTCGCCCTGACTTCCTGCACCCCAGCGTGAGTCAGTGCCCTCTAAGCCAGACACTACCTCCTACAGCTACAGCTATTTCCTTCGTCTATTTTTTGCCTGTTTTATTGGGTGGCAGCAAGAACTTGCAGGCTAAAACTGGTTAAAGCAGAGTTCAAGATCTGGTTCATTTACATTTCCCAAAGCCATCTTTGGCTTGAATTATAGGAGTGCTGGGCTGAACTAATGTACATCTAGTTTGACATTACATCTGCCTCCTAGGGGTCCAAAATGACACCTTTTGCTGAAGAACCTGGACTCTAGCTTGAATCAAATCAATAGGCCCTTCCTAACAGACCCCTCCTAACACAGAGACCATTAAAAAATGAGCCTTTGGCTGGGCGCGGCGACTCACGCTTGTAATCCCAGCACTTTGGGAGGCCGAGGCAGGCAGATCACAAGGTCAGGAGTTCGAGACCAGCCTGGCCAACATGGCGAAACCCCATCTCTACTAAAAATACAAAAATTAGCCAGGCGTAGTGGCAGGCACTTGTAATCCCAGTTACTGGCTGAGGCAGGAGAATTGCTTGAACCTGGGAGGCAGAGGTTTCAGTGAACTGAGACCAAGCCACTGCACTCCAGCCTGGGCGACAGATGAAGATTCTGTCTCAAAACAAAACAACAAAAAAGAGCCCTTTCGGCCAGGCGTGGTGGCTCAAGCCTGTAATCCCAGCACTTTGGGAGGCCAAGGTGGGTAGATTACCTGAGGTCAGGGATTCGAGACCAGCCTGGCCAACATGGTGAAACCCCATCTCTACTAAAAATACAAAAATTAGCCAGGTGCGGTGGCAGGTGCCTGTAATCCCAGCTACTCAGGAGGCTGAGTGGGAGAATTGCTTGAACCCAGGACACGGAGGTTGCAGTGAGCCAAGATCATGCCATTGATTGCATTCCAGTCTAGGCGACTGAGCAAGACTCCGTCTGAATGAAAAAAAAAAAAGAAAAAGAGAAAGAAAAAATAAGGCTTTTCATACACATCTGGATGGAAAGTTACCAGTTCCAGAACACTTAGAATTAATCAAGTAGAGATGACCAATACGTTCGTTAAACCCAAGGCACCAGGCTAAGTGCCTGCCATGTGACATGTGCAATTGCCATTACATGCCAGTATTGATGGCTATTCAATTCTTACCATTGCCATTTTACTGATAACATTTTGGTTAGCCATCTGAACCTTTTTAGCAGATGGTATAGCTAGAAATAAAACTGTGGACTTTGACTTGTGTTTGAATAGTAAAAGTTCCCCACTTCCTAACAAATTGGGTGAACATCCTTATCTGTAGAATGCGTATAATAGGTGCCTTGTGAGAGTGTTCGAGATGATACATGTGGAAACACTGGCACCTGGTGTCATTTAGCAAATAGTCCCTGCTGAGTCCATTCAAAAGCCCAAGTGTTTTCCCTTAAGCCAGAATGCTATTTTGAAAAGCTGGCTAATTTAGTCCAAATTGCATATCTTGGGCTAAGAGCTCTGCCTGCCTGAGAGGAAGAACAATGCACAAAAGTCGACTCCACTCCTAGAGATTCTTGCTCAGTGGGTGTGGGGTGTGGCTCATAAACAGAGTTTAATAAATATCCCAGGTGATTCTAATATCAGGGATGCACTTTGAGAAGCACCTCAACATGTGAAGTAAACTTCATTGTAAAGAGGGAGGCACAGCAGCACATTTGTGTCCCTTTTGCGACTAAGGATCTAATCATTCTGTCTTCCAAGAGACAGAGGTCAGCAGACTCCTACTGTTGGTTACCTAAAACTCTAGGAAGAATTCAATCTGACCAGCCTTGCCTAGCCTAGGGCCGTTTGTGAGGCAAACCAGAGGGGGAAAAATTGGGCAAAACCATCTTGGTTGCTGGGGTAGCTGTTAAGGTAGAAATAGTCAGTGGTATTCATGCTGGATTCATGACCACGGATGAACTCCTGGTGTTGGGGACAGGAAGAACAGCTAGTCAAGCCAGTGATGTGACTGACACCAGAAAAGAACGGAGCGGAGGGACCCTCTCTGGTTTCATGGGCTTCCTCTGGGCTCTGATACCAGCTGCTCTGGAAACCCTCCCTTCATCAGGCTCACTGCTCCCGCCGTTGGCGCTGCTCCTCACACACAGGTGCTCCTAAAGCCAGTCACCACCTGTGCAGTGTCTTTCTCCTTTGCATTGCTTGAATAAACATAATTTCATAGCCGACCCACTCCCCAGCCCCTTTTGTTTAGCTTCTCTCATCTGTGGCCTGACATGGTAGCAATTTAGCATGCCACTTTAAACGTACAGATTTAAAATGGGGTTGGCTAAATTCAGTATGAGTGATAGAAAACCATTAGATACAGATTAAGACAGTATGTTTAAGAGGCAAGGTGAGTTATATTAGAAAGGAGGGGAATTAGCAGTTTCATTAGAAAGCAGACTCTGGGATTACTCTGTCTTGTTACTTTTAAAAGTTTCTGCTGAAAAATAATTAGCCTCAAGCTGGGTGCAGTGGCTCATGCCTGTAATCCCAGCACTTTAGGAGGCCAAGGCAAGTGGGCTGCTTGAGCTCAGGTGTTTGAGACCAGCCTGGGGAACAGGGAGAAACCCCGTCCCTACCAAAAATACAAAAAAAAAAAAAAAAAAAATAGCCAGGTGTGCTGGTGTGGGCCTGTGGTCCCAGCTACTTAGGAGGCTGAGGTGAGAGGATCACTTGAGACTGGGAGGCGGAGGTTACAGTGAGCCGAAATCGCGACTGCACTCCAGCCTGGGCAGCAGATGGAGGCTCTGTCTCAAAATAATAAAAATAATTAATCTTATTGAATTCCTTAGACAAGAGAAAGGGAGTGAGCATGGCTCCCATCTGGTGGCCCGAAACACTGCCCTCTCTAACCCTCTCGTATTTCTAGTTGCAGATACAGTATTTTTAGACTATGGTTCAGGACAGGCTAATATACTCACCTCTGGGAGTGATCGTCATTGGAAACGTCTGACTCTCCGATTGTCTCCAGTGGCGGCTCTGGACACATCTTCCTTTACTGTGCTTCCTGACACATCCCTGTCCTTCCCCACATGTCAGGAGTGACAGTGGAGTGTCTAGTTGGGGTGCCAACTGAGGCAGAGCACAGATCCACGTCTCATCTTACAGCTGTAGTTCTTTGGGCAAGTCTTTGTTGGATCCCCTCACAGCAAATGACTTCCTGGTGCAGTAAACGTGATTTACCTCTCTGACAAAGCTCAGAGTGAATGTGCCCCTGAGGTCCAGCCAGCTCCTCGCCCATCTCCAAGGCAGTGTGAATAAGGATAACTGATATTTACAGTCTAACCCCTACATGCCACAAGCTCTGCCTGCCCAGCTGGTCCAGGAAATGAAAAGAAGCCTGCTGTGGGTTAGGTAAATTACAAGCACACCCAAGGGAGCTTGAC